TTAAATATTTTTTCCAAACTACCCCATACATAAATACATACAAATATTTTATTCTTTTCTAGACAGTGTATTTCTGTGGTCTGTTGAGAATGATAATTAAAATAAATTACCATTGTTTGTAGCAGCTTTAAAATAAGAATAATTGAGATTCACCTGAAACCTGATAGTATTTTAAACAGCTTTTTAAATTCTAATATTGAGAAGTTTTTTAAATTATATCACTTAAACCTCATTTAGGTGTGGTGCTGAAAATAGACTTCCTTTTAAGTTTTTCTTTAATTCCTGATAGTGCTTTTAAAGATGAGAATTTATAGACGTAAAGTACTTTGACTAGGAAAGCACAGTTGATAGTGTATGATAAGACCAGTGGTACAAAATAGAAGATACAGAGGTAGATTCACATAAATACAGTTATCTCATACTAGACAAAGGCACCGTAAACATACATTGGAGAAAAGATAACCTTTTTAACAAATGGTGCTGGGAAAACTGGAAATCCATATGCAGCAAAATGATGTTAAATCTTTCACCTTGCACAAAACTCAACGTGGATCAAGGACCTGTGCCTAATAGAAGAAAAAGTAGGTCCATATCTTCATAATGTCAGATTAGGACCTAACTTAACAAAACTACTTAAAGCATAAGAAATAAAATGAAGAATCAATACATGGGATAGATTCAAACTAAAAAGCTTCTTTTCAGCAAAAGAAAAAATAATGCGAAGAGAGAGCTTACAGAATGGGAGAAAATCTTTACCACATGCACATCATATAGAACACAATCTTCAGGATATGTAAAGCACTCAAAAAACTTAACACCAAAAATAAATAAATAAATAGCCAACCCCATCAATAAGTAGTATTTTAATTTCAAAGTCTGTTTTCTTAATTACTTCTAAATCATGACAATGGGAACGTTAAATAAAATGGATAAACCTGACCTTGGATGTTCTTTCCTTTTCTGCTCTGTTCCACAGTGCTCTCTCTAGTATTTCTTTCACATCTGCCCCTCTTATAAAAGTTTTGTCTTTTGTTTGCATTGAAAGCTGGTCAGTCAGCTAGGCACTGTGGCGCACACCTGTAATTCCAGCCATTTGGGAGACTGAAGCAGGAGAATCACAAATTTGAGTCCAGCTTCATCAACTTAGTAAGACCGTGTCTTGAAATTAAAATAATAATAAAGGAGTAGGAATGTTAGCTCAGGGGTAAAGGACCCCCGGGTTTAATCCCAGTACAAAAACAAAAACAAAGTCAGTTGATCAATAGTTATTAACTATGTACCTTTATGTAGTGTCCCAGTCTTAGGTACTGTAGGAAGAACTATACAACTAAGTCCTAACTTTTAAGTAATTTGATTAAAAGATCAAAATAACATATATACAGGACAATATAGTGAACTACCAGCTGGAAATTTAATAGGATTTCTTTAAAAAGAGGGAAATGAGAAGTAATAATGGATTTCAAAGAGAGAAAGTCTGCTGGGCAGAGTGAGTCGTAGGAATTTTGGTGGCTCCTTATTGGTATAAATGGGTATAGTGTCCAGTATTTTAAAAATTTGATATTTCAAACACCACAAACTGACCTACTGTATTTGGTATTTTTAAACTTTCATAATTCAAAAAATGTGTAACTTTGTTGTACAAGGTTTAATTATGATAGAATGGATTTTTATAATCTATTAATTGCATTACCTTTTCCTTATACACATCAAAGTTCTCCTTTCCTTCCAAACTCATTTTAAATTCCTTGCTTGATTATCTTAATCACTCCCTTGCCTTGCTGCTTCTACTCTTTTCCATTTTTTTGTTGTTGTTTTGTCAAACTTTACTGGTTAAAACAGTCTGCTTAAATTCTGTTCTCAGTGTTCCCCACCCGCACCCATGTAGTTAAGTATATCTAGGGAATAATAAACAACTATGATCTCTGGTAGTACTTTAAATTCTTGAACATTAAGTCCAAGTTGCCTCTTAATGTTCCTCATCTGTTTGCTTTTCCATTTTCCTAGAATGCTATTTCATATTTTCTTTTTTCTCAAAGCCCCAAAGTGTCCTCTTTCAGTTCTGTTCTTAGTAGATGACTTTGTATCCTAATTCACTGAAAAAATTGAAGCAAGGAGAAAATAATTTTTACCAGCTCCCACTTGCATCTATACCCTTAACTTCATTTGGGTCCTTTTATTCTATCTGCTCTCCTGCTCCATCACTAATCTATCTGTACTTCTGACTAGAGCATCCTTTCTACTTGTCCAGTAAATTCTATTTCTCCCTGTTTATATAAGAAAATTGCCCCAGAAATTCTCTTTTTTCATGTATTATCAAAATTGTTGGATTTTTTTTACTCCCAGAATTCATTCATTTGGAAAATATTGAATGTTCACTGTGTGTCAGGCACTAAGAATATGTCAATGGAGCTTACATTTTAGTTGAGGAGACAGAAGATAAACAAGAAATATACTGTTTGTCATCTCATAAAAGTAGAGCAGATAAAAAGTTGGGGAGTAATGTACATGGGGTCCAGATTGTATTAAAAAGAATGCCCAAGGTAGGCATAAATGTGAAGGTTAGAATTGATCTAAGACTTGAGGGAAGTCAGGGAGTCTTCTGTGGGGATATGTGAGGGAAAAGAATGCCAGGCAGAGGGCATAGCTTACCAAAAAGCCCTCAGCTGAGAGTACATCCCATTGTGGGGGGAAAAAAAATGCATGATTGAAGCCATGGTAACTGGCAAAGTGGTTTGAAAGAGTAAGGGGGAGGAGGTTAGAAATTTAGTGGGGTAAGTGGGAGGACCAGATCATGAAGGATCTTAGGTGAACTTTTTCAAGGACTTTGTCTTCTATTCTCTTTAAATAATTTTTGTATGTATTTTTAGTTGTTGGTAGACCTTTATTTTATTCATTTATTTGTATGTGATGCTGAGAATCAAACCCAGTGCCTCACACATGCTAGGCAGGTGCTCTACCACTGAGCCACAACCCCAGCCCATGCCTTCTATTCTTAGTAAATTGAAACATATAGAATATTGTTGAGGATGTTCATTTTAAGATTTCTCATTGTTGAGGGTAAATTGAAATGAGGAGCAAGGGAGAGCTGTTCTGAAGTTTTGATAGAGAATGATGGCTTAGTCTGAGGTAGTGCAAGTGGTGACAAGTGATCAGAAACTGGATTATGTTTTTCTAAGTAGAACCAGAAGGATAGCTGGAAGGAATGAACATGATGTGAGAAGAGAGGACTCCAAAGGGCTCCAAGTTTTTGGCTTTAGTTATTGAAAAGATGGAGATTTCATCATCTGAAATGGAGTAAGTCATCATGGAGGCTGGCAGAGAATGCAGGGTAGGAATGATCAGGAGTTCCTTTTTAGGACATGTCAGATATCTCACACAGTTGCTATTTTAAAATAACATATGTGGACTCTCAATATCTGAGCAGGAAGATTCTAGTTTTATGGCAGTGAGAGAGGTTTAGGCATTGGGCAGTGAGAATCTGAAATAGAATTTCACCAGTGGAAAACCCAGGTAAAGGAAAGTATTAACCAACATCAAAAAAGAAGATCTCTTTCCATGTTTCAGTCTAGGTGATGGGAAAATGAAGAAAGCCAGGAAAAATGGATTTAGGGGGAAAGATAATCAGTGGTTTCAGATATGGTACTAGTAATTCAACAAGATAGAAATGTTCTCTATATAAGTAAACATGTTTGTCTTTTAGGGGTTGGGGCAGGATGAAACCCAGGGGCTCAGTCAAGCTAAGAACATGATCTGTCACTGAGCTATGCCCCTATTTTCTGATGTGTATTTTAAGATGGTGTTCCAGTTGGAATAAAGCTTGAATTTTGAAATTGACAAACTAAAGGGGATGGCTAAAACCATGAAAGGTTATTGGAAAAGAGAATAAAACTAAGTAGAGAAACTTGGTTGAATTATTTTTTTTTCAATTTAAAGAGTCAATAAAGAATTAGTCTATTGTGAGTAATTACTTGGACGTTAAAACCAAAAATGTTGTGGTAGTTAATGGTTGTTAATGCTGGAGTAGATAGTTGTTAATGATGGAAAAAGGACAAAACAGATAAGCACTGATGAATTTGTCACCAAGGAATAGGCTAATTTCTTTCAAAAGCATAGACAATCCTACCTTAGCATCTCTGGGTATCTATGATAATTTATTTTCTAAAGTTCATTTCAAATGTACATCCATTAATAATAGCTGGTGTTTATTGAAAGTTTATTTTTTGTCATGTATTATGCTAAGTATTACATGAATTTATTATAAGTCCCAGTGTTAATTCTGTGATATAGGTACTTTTATTTTTTCCCACTTGTTATTGAAGACCAGAGAAATAATTAACTTGTCCAAGGTTGTATAGTTACTGGCAGAAAAAGAAATTGAATTAGGCACACTGGTTTTAGAATCTATATTTTTATCTACAACACTATTCTTTTCTCTGAAGTCTGCTTAGCTTCTTTGATTGGCTTTACCCACTGGATACCTAAGAATTGTAGGCAGTGTATCTTATCAGAAGGTAGGATAAAATGAAATCCTCTTAAATAGATAAAAAAAATGTTATAAGACTATGCTAAGTGAAAAATGAGGGGTACAGTAATAAATAATGAGACTATAGATGAGGAAGTGGTGTTGTAAAATGGAAGGAGCAGAATTTGATCTGGACCTTAAAGAATGGGTATTACTTTCACTACTGGAGATAACATGGGTGGGATAAAAAGTTGTGATATACTACCGATAGTAGTAACAGCTGGAGCAAAGGTATAAATATAGGAAAGAACAAATTGTGTTTTGTGAAAATTAAATAATCCAGTTTAGCTGATTTGGCGGAATGGCAGTGGGTTAAAAAGGAATACCAATGTAAGGTTGTGAATAACTTTGAGCAGAGATCCACGGAAAGCTGTGAGGTTGCGCTAGGTTTTGTTTAAAACAGAACTCTGTAGTTCTGCTTACTTCATGGTGTAAATATGTGTGTATATATTAAAGAAATATTTTATTTTCTTTCTAGAATGTCAGTTAATGAAAACAGAACGACCAAAGCCAAACACATTTATTATCAGATGTCTCCAGTGGACCACCGTTATAGAGAGAACATTTCATGTAGATACTCCAGAGGAAAGGTAAAAAAATTGGTTTTCTTCATTTTATGAAAAAGCAACACTCAATCTAAAAGTGTATTTGTAGTTGACTTCATCATTTGTAAATATATTTATTAAATATATTTGCAAAATGCTATAGTCTATTATTTAGGTTCTGGAATAATACATGTATAACTGTGTTATACATTGTAAACTGAACCTCTAGGAATACTGGAAGATATACTTCTTCAGAGAATACAAAATATTTAATGATTAAAATAAAAACTAAAGTATTTTTGTGACCATACTGTCTTTTTTAAAAACAATTAAAATTGTGTTAGTATTGGAAATCTGACATACAAGTGATAGTAAAAGCTTTTAAGTAGCTTGTGCTTTTAGATTAATTCCAAGTAACTGCCTGGAGAATTCATTGAGAAGGTTTTTAAGATTTGTTATAAGCTCAGTGGTACAGGTATGGGATGGGAGTTATACTTGGATTAATAGCATTGCTATCATCTTTGCCAAATCAAGTAGCAGCAACACATCAGGAACTAACTCATCAACTCCATCAGGACCATATTTCCATTGTCCTCATCTGTAGTCAAGTTTTGCACCCACCTTCCCACCTCCTTGTTTTGTCTTGTTACTCTTTTATTGGGTGGCCTGATAAATGAGTTAGGTCTAGCAAACAATGATAAAATTTTCTGCACATATATTAACATATTTGATCCTAGGCAACAATTTTGTGAAGTCAGCTATTGTTAGCCTTATTTTCAAATGAATACAGTAAATTTTGTTATAACAGGTTTCTCTAAGATTTTAATAAAAACAAAAACAACCTTTTAAAAAAATTCTTATAAAAGATAAAGGGATTTTTTTTGTTGTAGATGTTTTGTTTTGTGCAGTGAGTGCTGAGGATTGAACTCAGGTCCTTACATATGCCAGACAAGTACCCTACTACTAAGCTACAAATCTAGTCCTTTAGTGTTATTTTAATAATGCTTTTTGATCAATAGAGTAAATTGTGATATATGATTTCTTTAGGAAATATAGAAAATAAAGAAAAATAGGGGAATAGAAATTAGTAATACTTCTAATTCTATAGTTAGTATTTAATATTAATATATTCTTTTCTACACTTCCAATATTATTCTTTGCTGATGTGTTTAAGTCTTTAATGTACACATAGTTCTTTGTCTCTTGTGGACTTAGGTAGGTCCCCTAGCTATACACTTACATATCTCTTGGAACCTTTTATACCAACTACATCATGACTGTAATCTTTATTTGCTTTCCCCACTAGACTGTAAGCTTCTTGACAGTAAGAAGCATGTCTTCCTTACTTTCTTTTCTATTTTTTTAATCTTCAGCACATGGTTCAGGGTCTGACATAATATTTATTGACTGGCTGAATGAGTGAAACTCTCCTTTGTCAGTATTTGTTCTTTGAAAATATTCTTTTAGTGGAACATCTCATTGAAGCATGACTTATTTTTCCATTTGTGTTTACTAAGCTGAATTTATTTTTTTCAACTACACCATTTTATTTTACATATATATATTTTTAAATTTATATATGACAACAGAATGCATTATAATTCTTATTACACATATAGAACCCAATTTTCATATCTCTGGTTGTATACATAGAATATTCACACCAAATCGTGTCTTCATACCTGTACTTTGGATAATAATGTTCATCACATTCCACCATCATTAAATACCCCACAAAGCTGGATTTAAGCCAAATCTTAAGACTCTAAAATTCTTTGCTATTCCTGTAATATAACACTATTCCACTGAACAATCAATTTTCATTTGCATTTGTGATTAGAAGAAAAAACAGTTTTAGTGGAAATGAAAAACGGCATGTTTATTTTTACTGTTGGGACATGCAACTCTGTATTCATCTAGAATCTGATGTTTGGAGTTTTATATAACTTTAATGTCAGTGAAGATTTAGGGAAGCTCAAAAAGTTAGAAAAACTATTTTCAGTATTCTGTCACCAGTCTACATGTAAACTAAATGTATGTATCTAATCTATTTTATGCATGATATAAGATTGTCAATGATATAAGACTGGTCTATTGTAAATAGTGAGCTTATTAGGTCTTAGTAAATAAGAAATTCTTTTCTCTCAGATAGATGATAGCACATAGACAAATACTTGGGCTTTTAGATTTTTATTTTATATTATTTTCTTGATCTTTCTGTTGTTCTAGTACTAGCACTGCATGGTTTTAATTAGAGAAGCTTTATAAAACTTTCAATTTGTAATTAAACAACATTTCCCATATTATTTTTAAACCAAATGCTCTTAGCTGTTCTACTGCATTCATTTTTTTAAAATTTGTTATTTTTAGATATACATGACAGTGGAGTATATTTTGACATATTTTACATACATGGAGTGTAATTTATTCTAATTAGGATCCCATTCTTGTGCTTGTACATGATGTGGAATTTCACTGGTGATGTATTCATATATGAACAAAGGAAAGTTATGTCCAGTTCATTCTACTGTCTTTCCTATTCCCATTACCCCTCCCTTCCCTTCGTTCCCCTTTGTCTAATCCACTGAACTTCTGTTCTTCCTTCCCTGCTTTTTGTGTGTTAGCATCTACATATCAGAGAGAACATTCAGACTTTGGTTTTTTGAGATTGGCTCATTTCACTTAGCATGATAGTTTCCCAATCCATCCATTTGCAGACAAAGGTCATGAAGTCTTCTTTATGGCTGCTTTGGAGAAATGCTATATATATATATCACATTTTCTTTATCCATTCATCTGTTGAAGGGCACCTAGGTTGGTTCCATAGTTTAGCTATTGGGAATTGAACTACTGCATTTATTTTTTAAAGTTTCTTTTTTAACTGATGCATCAAAACATGAAAATTGTACATATTAATGGGATACTCTGTAATGTTTTGATATATATATATATAAATATAAATTGTGTGATATTTAAATCAGGTTTAACCTCAAACATTTATCATTTTCTTAAGGTAAAAACTATCAAAATTCTTTCTTCTACCTTTTTCAAATGTACAAATAGGTTATTGTACATTTAGTCACCCTACTGTATTAATAGCATACTAGAGCTTCTTGCTTATACCTAGTGGTAACGTAGTACTCATTGATCAACCTTTCCCTGTCCCTTCCTACCCACTATTATCCCTGAACTCTGATGATCACCATTCTACTCTCAATTTCTATGAGGTTAATTTCTTTAGATCCCATATGCATGAGATCATGTGATACTTTCTGTGCCTGGATTAATTCACTTAACATAATGATCCCCAGTTCCAAATACCTTGGATTGTCTTAAATAATAGGATTTCTTTTCTTTTTAAGACTAAAGAATATTCCATTATATGTGTATATCATATTTTCTTTATCCATTCATGTTGATAGACACTTAGGTTGCTTCCACCTCTTTGTTATTGTTAATAATGTTACATTTAACATGGGAGGGCATATATCTCTTTTGAGTTTCTCATTTCAGTTCTTTGGATAAACACCCAGGATTTGGATTGCTAGATCTTATGGTAGTTCTATTTTCAATTTTTAAAGGAATCTCCATATGGTATTCTATATGTGACTGCTATGTTATACATTCCCATAGGGTTTCAGTTTTTCCACATCTCTGCTAACACCTATTATTATTATTGTTTCTATAATGATTATCTTAGCAGTGTGAGGTGTTATCTCACTGTAATTTTTGACTTGCATTTCCCTGATAATAGTAATGTTGTATATCTTGTCATATACCTGTGGGTCACTTGTGTGTCTGCTTTGGAGAAATGCCCATTTTTAAGTTGGATTATTTGGGTAGGTTATTTTTGTCTGTTTGGCTATTGAATTGTAGAACATATATACACACATGTATATATATCTCCTTTTCAGATGTATGTTTTTTCATATAGTTTACTCACATTACTTAGTTTGTTTCCTTTGCTCCACAGAAGCTTTCTGATTGATGTAGTTCTACCTGTCTATATTTATATATGTTGCCCACACTTTTGGTATTACAGTTGAGATTATTGCCAACACCAAAGTCATATAAGTGACCTCTGTATTTTCTTCTAGGAGTTCTATTGTCTCAGGCTAATGCAAATTTAATGTTTAATCCATGTGACTTGGTTGGGTTTTGTATAGATAAGGCTCAAATTTCATTAATTTGCACATTGATATCCAGTTTTCCTAGCATAATTTTTTATGAGAGATTATAGTTATCATAGTAGTTGGATTCATTTCATCAAAATCATATATGCATGGAATTTGATTTACTCCATTTCAGTCCCCATTTTCCCCACTTTTCCCTTCCCCTACTCCCTCGTCTCCTTGTCCTTTCTCTACTGATCTTCCTTTCACTCATTTATTTATTTTTGATTTGTGCTTTCTACATAAGGTGTATCTGTATAAGCACCTAATATGATTTTGTTAAATTAATTCCACATTTCCTCCCCTTTGTCATCGCTCCTGATCATCTTCTACTCCACTGATCTTCCCTACAATTTTATTGATATTTAATTCTCACCTTTTTTTCCTCTAGCTTCTATATAAGAGAGAACATTCTATCCTTGATTTTCTGAGTCTGTCTTATTTCACTTAACATTATGTTCTCCATTTCAATCCATAATTTCATTCTCCTTGATGACTGAGTAAAACTTCATTGTGTATATATACCACATCTATCAAGGGGCATCTGGACTGATTCCATAATTTGGCTATTGTGAATTTCCCTAGTACCATTTCTATTTTTTTTTTTATTTTTATTTTTTATTCTAATTTGTTATATATGACAGCAGAATGCATTACAATTCATATTACACATAGAGCACTATTTCTCGTATCTCAGGTTGTATACAAAGTATATTCACACCATTCTTTTTTGAATTTTATCTTATTTTTTATTCTGATTTGTTGTATATCAGAATGGAATGCATTACAGTTCATATTACGTATATAGAACACAGTTTTTCATATCTGTGGTTATATTCAAAGTATATTCACACCATTCGTGTCTTTATACAT